TGAGCCACCGCGCCCAGCCCAAAAAGCTTTTTATTTTAAAATAATTTCATGCTCACAATAAGCCACAAAATGGTACAATAAAATTCCTGTATACGCTGAACTCACATTCTCCAAGTGTTAATATTTTGCCACATATCATTCTATTTTTTTCCTCAGAAATATTTGAGAACAAACTGCAGATATTATACATCTAAGCATGTTAATACATTTATCAAATCAGGAACTTAACATTCATACAACACTATTATCTTACCTATAGACCTTATTCATGTTTCACCAAGTGTGCCACTAATGTCTTTTTACAGCAAAAGAAAAACTTGGGGGGCGAAGGGTGGTCCTGGATCTAATTCAAGATCACCTGTTGCATTTAGTTGTCGTGTCTCTTTAGTCTACTCTAATCTGAAACAATTTCTCATCTTTTCGTGGTCTTGACATTTTTGAAGAGTATAGGATAGTTACTTTATAGAATGTACCTTGATTTGGGTTTTTTCTGATGCTTTGTCATGATTAGAATCAGGTAATGCATTTTAAGCAGGAATAGCAGGTAAGTGGTATCACTTCATGCATGCTATCAGGAGGAAAAGATTTTAATTAGTCCCGTCACTGAAACTATTTGATCTCTTGGTAAAGGCAGTATCTGCCCACTTTCCCAGTGTAAAGTTACTCTTTCTCCTGTAAAACAATAATTTTCAAAAATGGGTAACATTATGACTCATACAGATAAAAAAATGAACACTGTCAAAGATTTGATTCAACTCACGGTTATTGAGAGAATCAATAGGATGTTACAACAAGGGCAAAGGAGAATCTAAAGAACAGACATATTATAGATCAGAATTACTGATATAACTGAACACAAGCGAAACTAGCATTTTCTACACCGGGCAAAGAAGTCAGTTGAACCTCTACTGGGCATAATTTATGGATCCATACATAACTGTTATTTTACGTTGCTATCAGTTATCTATAAGTCACATCCCACATCATTTAGCAGACAGGAAAATTTTTTTAAAAAATAATAAATAAAATAGCTCAATGGCATTGAGTCAGATACTAGTGTGTTGGAGACCAGGTTGGGCAAACTATGACCCAAATCCAACCCACCACATGATTTTTTGTACCATGGCTAAAAATGGTTTTTACAGAGGGACATTTGCAGTCAATTTGGTGACAGGGAATACTACCTTGAACCTCACTTAAACTAAATGTTATTTATCTCCTCTTCCCACCCTGAACAAAGAATTCCATTCTTTTCATTAGTGGTAGATTAATATTACCAAAAAAACCACAACTATACTCAGTTGTTACTGTATTAATGTTATCAATATAATATTTATGGAAATTTATTTTCTCTCTTTTTTATGAGTACCTGTATAATATTATTTATTTTACTTTAAGTCACAAAGCCTAAAATATTTACTGTCTGGCCAAATAAATATGCTCCTTTCACTTTCTTTTACCTTACTTTCATTTCCTAAGCAAATATAATAGCATCAGAAAGATACTATTATCTTACTAAAGTGCAGATACCCGGGTTTTTTTTTTTTTTTTTTTGAGACAGAGTCTCACTCTGTTGCCCGGGCTAGAGTGCCGTGGCATGGCATCAGCCTAGCTTACAGCAACCTCAAACTCCTGTGCTCAACTAATCCTTCTGCCTCAGCCTCCCAAGCAGCTGGGACTACAGGCATGCGCCACCATGCCCAGCTACTTTTTTCTATTTTTAGTTGTTTGGCTAATTTCTTTCTATATTTAGTTGAGACGGGGTCTCACTCTTGCTCAGGCTGGTCTCGAATTCCTGACCTCAAGCCATCCTCCCGCCTCGGCCTCCCAGAGTGCTATGATTACAGGCGTGAGCCACCGCGCCCGGCCCAGATACCAGTTTTTAAAATTTAAAAACTTTTAAATTGGCACACATCAGACATATAGGAAAATGCATAGGTCTAAGGTGCGTAGCCTGTATTGTGGCTTTTTTCTAATAGCATTGAAGCCTCAGCTGCTCCAAGCAGTCTGTGGCTCCTTTTTCAGCCCTGAAACAGCTATGCTAGTTCTATCTTGGTCTCCTTTCTTCATGTTAGAGCCAGTAGACAATTATTTCCCCAAGACTCCCAAATCATGAAAGATTTGTGTTAATAGGAAATAATTAGCATCTTTTTTATTCATCAAAGGACACATGTCACAAATGTAAAGATCTGTCATGGTATTTTTTTCAATTAAGTTTTTACAGTTGAAATAATATTGAAGTTATAGAACAGACTTAAAAAGTGTTTTATATCATCAAATTTCCTGTTCTTAGCTATGTTATTTTGGAAAACAGCATGAGGTAGGTTGTTATGGCAGCTTGTTGGTTAGCATTTGGGGTTTTGTCAATTTATTTCTGCTTTAAAACCGTCCCTAATTATGGTGCCTGCTAAATTAACCCTCAGTGAAGGATGACTATTTACGTGGATTAAAATTCTCCGTTCACTTGCTTGTGTGTCCCTTGGGATAAAGGTTTCTATTAATGGTCTTAGCCTGAATTGTTTTTAAATTTGGTGAGAAAAATGTAATTCTTATTTTACATTTTTCTGATAAAACAAATATGGGGAAAGTAAAGTGTATATATGAAGGAATTAGAATTCTGAAGTTTAAAAGATGTATAGAGTTTTATGGCCTGGCATGGAGGCGTGCGCCTGTAGTCCCAGCTACTCAGGAGGATGAGGCAGGAGGATCACTTGAGCCTAGAAGTTTGGGGCTGCAGTGAGCTATGTTGATGCCACTGCTCTCTAGCTGGGGCAACAAAGCAAGAACCTCTCTCAAATAAAAAAAAAAAAAGATGTATAGGGTTTTAAATATGATTCCCCATTATAGGTTTTTTAAGTATGAGAGAAGGAAAAATGTCAGTACATAATTAATTATCCTTTTATATATTGCATTACCCACAGTACTCCTTTTCAAAACCCTGTGTTGCAGAATAATCATAGTTTCCAGAATTCTGTGGCAGCTCTCAGAGAGAACATGAAGGGTGGTTGAATAGTGCCATAGAGATGGGTTGGAATTCAGAAGAGAGAAACCAGGGCTTGTAATGATAGAAGAAAAGGTGAATTCCTCCTTTTCGTATGTAGGCAGTAATGATTCTCTAACTGTCCAAAGTCTTCAAAAATGTATGTTTTTAAATAATCATGTTCAACAAAACCTTTATTGAACTTTGGCTTGGTACTGGGCCGTAAAGGTAAATATGGCACAGTTTCTTCCTTAAGAGGATTTACATCTGGTTGGGGAAAAAGACAAGTCAACCAGTAATTCGAATACAGTATAATCGATGCCACTGTACTCATAGAAGCAGCATGTGAAAATCATACTGACAAGGAGAGAAGGGCTTTTGTCTTTTTTATCATCTATTTTGTGAAAGCCTTTTAAGGTGCTGAGCCCTGTTGTGTAGGGCCCAACACTAGGAAAACTGCCTCTTCTTTTCAAGGCTAACCTGCCCCTGCTGCAGCGAGAACTGCTACACTGTGCTCGGGCAGCCAAGCAGACCCCATCCCAGTACCTGGCTCAGCACGAACACCTTCTGCTCAACACAAGCATCGCATCACCTGCTGACTCTTCCGAACTGCTCATGGAGGTACATGGAAACGGGAAGAGGCCCAGTCCAGAGAGGTGAGCAGAGAAGAGGTTTATTGTCCTTGCCTTTCTGGAACAACTCCGACCTTTCCCTTTGCTTGTGAAAGAAAGAATTTTATTGCTATGGTTGTAGACAGGTAATGTCTCAGACTTTCGAAGGTTATTTTCACATTATCCCAACAACAAGCAGTCATAAAAGTCTAAAATCTAGGAGTAGCTCCCAGACATGAGTATTTTTCAAAAACACTCCGGGTGACTCTACACACCCCTGGTGAGAAACTCTGCTCTAGAGCATTCTATGGGTCCACTGTTCCAAAAGCCTAAGAAATATAATCTGCCAAAGGCATTTTTTTCCTTTTTTTAAGGAGAATTTTTATTATTTTTATGTCGGAGGCATTTTTTCTAATTTGTAAACTGTTGAACAAATATAACAATTAATTACTAATACTTACCAATGAGTCACCTTTACTGAGATTATAATTCTATGAATTTATTCTTTAAAATTCAGTATGAGTGGCTACCAAAATATTCTATGGGTTATCATGGAAACTTTTTTTTTTTTTTTTATAGACAGAGTCTCGCTCTGTTGCCCGAGGTAGAGTACAGTGGTGTCATCATAGCTCACTGCAGTCTCAAATTCCTGGGCTCAAGTGATTCTCCTGCCTTAGCCTCCTGAGTAGGTGGGACTACAGGTATGCTCTACCATGCCTGGCTAATTTTTTCTGTTTTTAGTAGAGACTCTTGCTCAGCTGGTCTTGAACTCCTGACCTCAAGCAGTCCTCCTGCCTTGGCCTCCCAGAGTCCTAGGATTATAGGCATGAGCCACGATGCCCAGCCCTAATTTTTAAAAAAATTTTTTTGTAGAGACAAGGTCCCACTATGTTGCTCAGGCCGGTCAAACTTCTGGCCTCAAACAACTCTCCTGCCTCGGCCTTCCAAAGTGCTAGGATTACAGGCATGAGCCACTGGGCAGGCCTAGAAACAATATTTTAACAACAGTAGAAAACTTGTTACAGTTTTGAAGCTGAATGACTGAAAAGCTTACCAAGTCATAAGTGGATTAGTTATGTGAGCCTTTTTTCTCCCATGTAGAGAATTGTGTCTTTCTGATAACTCACCTCCATGGTAACAAATTTGATCTTAAAACATTCCAAAATATACTTGAACCCGTAATTCTTAATATTCCTATTACATGGGAAAATGTCATCTCCTTAGTCTCTCCTTTGCTTCATGAGGGTTAGATATTTCTGTGTAGTTTTGGATGGATTTGACCCTTCTTTTCATGCTGGAATAAATCAACAATTTACATGATGTGCCTGGCCCTTGAAGACAATTCCCTTCACGCTTCATGTCATGCCTTTCCATACAGTCATCCTATTTATGATAGTGCGTAACATAATATGTAACACAATGTAGGTGTACAGGAAATGTTTGCATGAACACTTGTTGACAAGCTCACATGTGCACTTCTGGTTCCTCTACAGGAGAGAAGAGAATAGTTTTGAAAGAGATACAATTGCTCCTGAGCCTCCTGCCAAGAGAGTGTGTACCATTAGCCCTGCTCCCCGGCATAGTCCTGCTCTCACTGTACCCCTCATGAATCCTGGGGGCCAGTTCCATCCTACTCCTCCACCTCTTCAGCATTACACCTTAGAAGATATTGCAACTTCACACCTGTATCGGGAACCCAACAAGGTGCTAGAACATCGAGAAGTTCGTGATAGGCACCACAATCTTAGTAAGTGACGTAAGCAGCATGATAATGATTTGAATTCAGACAGAGTTCTTGGATTTCTTTCCTACTCAGTGATAAAGTCAAATAATATCATCATTGCTTTTTCCCACTGATTAGATAAAACAATATTATATATAAAAAAGAATATTAGAGTTATAGTTGACTTCATTTAATATTGATCTCACTTTATACTTTGTTGATATCATCATATGATAGAAGTAGGATTGCTATCAAGAGGGAACTTTGGATAAAGTAAAATCAACTTGAGAAAAATAGCAAGATTAATGCAATGATAAGTGGAGATTAAAACTGAACAAATTCTAGGGATAAACTGGCATAAAGAATAAAGAGGGGCCAGGCGCGGTGTCTCACGCCTGTAATCCTAGCTCTCTGGGAGGCCGAGGCGGGCGGATTGTTTGAGCTCAGGAGTTCGAGACTAGCCTGAGCAAGAGCGAGACCCCGTCTCTACTAAAAATAGAAAGAAATTAATTGGAAAAACTAAAAATATATAGAAAAAATTAGCCGGGCATGGTGGCGCATGCCTGTAGTCCCAGCTACTCGTGAGGCTGAGGCAGGAGGATCGCTTGAGCCCAGGAGTTTGAGGTTGCTGTGAGCTAGGATGACGCCACGGCACTCACTCTAGCCCAGGCAACACAGTGAGACTCTGTCTCAAAAAAAAAAAAAAGAATTAAGAGTTATCACTTATTCTCAAATCGTTCAGAAAAAAATAGAGAATGAAAAAGCAAATGAGATAAAATAATAACATTTGGGAAAGCCCTGTGAAGGGTTTGTGAGTTTTCTTTGTACTATTCTTGCAATTTCTATAAGTCTGAATTTATTTAAGAATAAAAGTTTTTAAAATTAAAGCAAGAAAGATGCAAAATAATGTAGTCTTAGAGGTGAAAGTATATGCACGGACATTTAGGTCAGGAGTTGAGGCATATCTAAATTTAAATCTTGGCTCTGTGTCCTAACTAGCTGTGTGATCTCATGCAAGTTGCTTAGGGTCTCTGAGCCTCAGAATATAATTCCTCAAATGGAGATAACACCACCACCTGGGCTGGGTTGTTACATTTGGAATGCTTCGCACATGGCCCCTCAGAGACCATTAAATTTAGGAAGAAACAAACATACAAAAAATCCTAACAAATCTCACCCGAGATCAATTTTGGACAGAGCTTTTTGTCATGTACTCATACAAGTTCACTGCAGAAGGTTTTTTTGGAGTTTAACTGCTAAGTATCTGTCAGGGCAGAGAACCAAAGACATACCAGCTTCCAGGGTTTCTCCTACATTTCAGTTTGTGGGGTACCTTGTAGAGTAAGAAATTGTAAAACATTTGCCCCTCTCTTCTTCTGACTTCAGCTCACTAGCATTGTTCAGAGGCTTGGACCACAGTAGGGCCCCTGGCTTCATGCAGTGGTGGCTGAATGGTGAAGTCTGTGGCAGCTATGGTGTTCTCAGCATCATTACTCAGTCTTAGCTACCACTCAGATTGTGTTGTACTTACATTGTCTCATTTAGTCCTCACAGAAGTTCCAGGCAATTGTTACCCCTCTTTACAGATAGCGAGTAGGTGGTGAGACAAGATTCAGATCTCAGTTGTCTGATGCCCCAGGCTTCGGTGCACTGGCAGTACGTTATGCTTATATTTGTGTCCAATCCCTGTTCCTTCAATGCCTCTCTTTTCATCTGTTAAAACACTAGACTTTTTATTGTTTTCTTTTATATTCATACCTATTTTTTGCCAGTTTGATTTGCAAAAGAAATATGCTAACAACTAGCTATAACTGCCTTTTTAAAATTGTCGACTTGATTGATTGATTGATTAGAGATGGGGTTTCACTAAGTTGCCCAAGGCTGGACTTGAACTCCTTGGCTCAAGCAATCCTCCTGTCTCAGCCTCCTTAGTAGCTGGGACTATAGGCACATGCCACCACACCTGGTTCTTATAATTGCATTTTTTGCCACATTTTACTTGTATTTCTACAATTTTAGAAAAAAAAATTTTTTTTTCCATCTTGAAGCATTCTTCAACCAATCATCTACCTTGATGGTTCTTTTAGGTTCAACCATTTGTTTTCCAGGCTCATTACAGATTCCTTAATTTTCACCAGTCCTGTTTGAAAACACATGCCCTAGTACGGTGGTACTCAGCTGTTACCAAGCCATTCATCACCACGTCCTTTAAACAAATATATTATACCACGGCCTTTACTCTCCTACAATGAAATTTAGATGTACTATAACCTATCTTAGATCCATAATTTTAGGACCAATACTCTATCCTAACTGAATATTTAAGAAAGTATCTTATAATAAAATGTGTTAGTGCTCAGGCATGACTACATTAGAAGATATAATGAAATAAGCAGGTTCTTGCCCTGATACAGAATCACTATGAATACAATACCTGTAAATTCAGACTGATAACAGGGGTGTTGTTTTAATGATTCAAAGACTATATCAGCAGTGTTACCATAGGTGACACTAGTTTTTCAAAACAGTTGACAACTCTTGATTCGGTATACTCTTGATTCATATAGTCATTGCATTCCTGGATATTTCAGTATATATCAAAACCATGCCCCCAAAAATACTATTGGTAATACTAAGGCTGTTTCCAAGTAGTTGTACCAGTATACACTCTATTTTTGGTGGTTAAGTATTTATATTGCACCACATCCTTGATAACACTTAGTATTATCTGATGTTTTAATTTCTTCTAATGTGTTAAATGTAAAATGCCATCTCATTGAAGTTTTTATTGCATTGCCTGACTACTTATCAGTTTGAGTATCTTTTTAGATGTTAATGGATCATATATAGTTTCTTATCTATGAGATATCTGTTTGTTTCTTTTGCCTTTTTTTATTTTGGGCTATTTGTCTTTCATAATTGATTTATTAGCGTTCTTTACATAATCTGAATAATGATATTTTGTTGGGTATATGTCATTTTGTCAGTCCCACACCTGATTATGAATCATTGTCTTAGTAGCGTGTTCAAGGTTCTTACAAATGCGTGTGTATTTACTTTGTAGAATTTGGTACTACTGTATTCTTCCCACTATCTTCATATTTAATCTCTAATCTCTAATAGATCTAAATGGAAGCTATCAAGATGATTTGGTAGACCACCGTTTGACAGAAAGGGAATGGGCTGATGAATGGAAACATCTTGACCATGTAAGAACCTTACAGTGTATAATTTTCCCACCTATTGCTTTTGGTTCTTAATGCTATCAATAATTAATGGAGCATGTGTGCTTGAAGTGAGTATAACCAGACATAATATCCTTTGCTTTTAATAAAAGCTGGTTTATCTGCTACTCCCTCAGCTACAGAGCTAGAGAGTCACTCCCAAATCTTTGTGGCAGGATGATCACTTCAGTTCACAAACCAAGTAAAGCCATGTAGCATAATGGTTAAAAGCATAGCTGGGTACAATGGCATGTGCCTGACGTTCAGCTATTCAGAAGGCCTGAGGCAGGAGGATCACTTGAGCACAGGAGCCAGACTGGGCAACATAGCAAGGCCTTGTCTCTAAAAAATAAAAATCAAAACAAAACAAAAAACCTCACAGGTTTGTGAGTTCAAGTCCCAGCTTTGCTACTTCCTATCTTTGTGAGCTAGGCAAGTTACTCTTTTAGCCTTAATTTTTATGTCTTTTAATGCTGCATTATTTGAAATCACAGGAGGGCTATAATAATATATAAGGTGCTTATCACAGTGCCTGGTACATAGGACATGTTAAATACATGTTTTCCTCCAAATACAAGTGAGAATTAGTGCACTGGTACAGAATGTAAGCCTGAGTTCTCTCCCCCATTGGAAGAGAGAGTTTCCCTTCTCTCTAAAAAAGGAAGAAAGGATGTTAGTGCCTGCTTGAAATTTACATGCAATAGCTTTTCCTTCTTGAGTGACAGTTGTCCCTGGTTCTTACTTCTCTCGTTGAATTCTTATAAAAATCTCTAGCTTTATCAGATGACTTAGTGTATTTAGACAGAGAGTTACTGTAAGTTAACCAGTCTTTGATGGACCATGTTATGAGACTATATATGGCTGCTTCAACCTCAAAGAATCCAAAAAGCCTTATTTTAAATAAAAAAATGAATTAATTATCTGCTGGATTATAAGGACCAAAACAAAAAAAGAAAGAAAGAAAAAAAAATTGATAACTGTGTGTGTATTTCAAAAGAAGCTATAATAAAGGCTTTTAAATGTAAAATACTTGAACCTTAATTTTTTATATTGTGTTTACCTGTCCTTGATTTTCAATGTTCGTTGTTTGAATTTCCTCATCTCATCTCTGCCTGACGTCCTGTCTGGCTCAGGCCCTGAATTGCATTATGGAAATGGTAGAGAAAACACGGCGCTCCATGGCAGTTCTGCGGCGCTGTCAGGAATCTGATCGTGAAGAGCTCAACTACTGGAAGAGACGATATAATGAAAACACAGAGATGAGGAAAACAGGGACCGAGTTGGTCTCCAGGCAGCACAGCCCTGGGACTGCAGATTCTCTCAGCAATGGTAAGGGGAGAGTCTGAAGGGAACCTAGAATAAACATCAGCCTTAGGACTCCACCTAATATGGTAAGGAAGGCTTTTTCTATTTTACTTTAAAGGAAGATGGTGCTAGATTGTGGAGTTAGGGAGACTCGTGTGATTATGGAAAGTAAATGAGAAAATATGTGAGGCACTCAGTACTGGGCATGTTCAAGAAATGTTAATTCTCCCTCGCAGAGAATGGGAAAATATGTGAATTTGTTCTTTCTTTAACTCTCTCTGCGTATTTATGTGCTGGGTGATAATCAAAGAGTGGTTGTTAAATTCAGCCTGGCTAAATGTCCTAGGAGACACTGTAGTGTCATCACTTCGATTCCTCACAGCAGCCTTGAAAGTGTTCAGCTCACCTTCCTTCCTCTTTTCCCCACCTCCATCCGGGAAAGTACCACTTATCAACCACGGCTGGGTGGCCGCAACAAAAGCTTTTACTGTGCCAAACTGAGTTGTACCATCTTGCCTTTTCCCAGCCTAAAGCAGCAGAGACAAGAGCAGCTCTTCTCTCGATTCAGAGTACATCCAGGAAGCCACAGTTATTCCCCCAAAAATGTTCCATCACATTCACCCAACAACTGAAGAGGTGCCCTATCAAAGGCTCAGCTGATTGACAGGCCATCTGTGATCTGACTCTTTCCCCAACCACCCACTCTAAGTTCCCAAATGTTCACCAGGGAGAACAAATCTCTTCTTATGACAGACCTAGCATGTTCCACATAAAAGATAGCTGTTAGTTTCAAAGAGACTACAAAAAAAAAAAAATTGAGGCAAAGTCAGAATTACTGTAGTATGTCCAGACGTTGGTAGCTAAGGGATCCCACTCTGCCACCCCACCCATAGCAATAGCTCTTGAGTCAGCCAGAGATTAGCACCATTATGTTGCATATCTAGCACAGCAAGACATCAAAGAATACTTCTAGTATGATTCCTTTCACAAAACCTTGAAAAACAGACGATGCTAATCCTCTGGTCTCCCTCACCATCTGAACCCTTACAAATATTCCTTGTAACAACTTGCAGAAACCTACCTAAAGTTCACCATCCAAACAACATACCTTCTGTTGATGAGTCTGCATGTGTGCAGGTGAGAAGGCATAGAGTACAGAGTGAGCTATAAATCACAAGCCAGCTGTTTTTCAGCCAGGATTGCAGGTCTAGATGTCATTTAAACATTGCTGTGCATTACCATTACTCATCTTTCTCACCTTTGCTTGAGGGCTTAGCTGGGATGACCATATGTTCTGATCTGCCTGGGACAGTCCCAGTTTAGGCCTGTATCTTGTCATAATTACTACTACAACCTCCCTTACTCTCAAATGAGAACAATTTGGATGATAAATTGTACTGTCACTCTAGGTTTAGCTCTTTATGAACCCCCTTTATTTCCTTCTGTCAGGGTTCTGAGGGCACTGTCAACCTGTCTGATTTAAACAGTATCTTTTAGTATCATTATTTATACATGTTATTATGTACATTTATCTCATGTTCTTTTTTATATAGTACATGTCTGTTTTAGTATAGAACAAAAGTATAATTCATATCCTAAACAAGTATACTATTCAAAATGTGAACCAAAGCTATTCCAAAAACTGTTACTGGTCTGTGATGCTATGAGGAGCTTATACCAGGATATATTGGACACTGTTCACTTCACCAAGAAAGTCTTCCTATGAAAAGAGTCAGCCAAACTAAACAGTATTCTTAAGAGACATGGTTGTTTTGCATTCTGATAGTTTCTTTTCATGGACCAGTAACAGCACTTTTGAGTACTGTTGTTCTATATTGAGCAGTATTCTTGGGAATAACAAACAAGCAAATTCCCACCAGTGACTTTTAAATAATTAAGTAATTAATGTTTTTAAAGTCTTGCATTATACAGAAACCCCAGGGGGATTGTTATTTAAGTATTTAATATTTAAATGTTTTGGTAATTTTAGAGAGAAATTTATTAGAGTCTTTGGATGGCATTATTACTTTTCCTATTTAAAATAATGCAGTACAGGTTTCCCCTCTCCGAACATTTGTGATTCACAGTACTTTCAGGAACAGATTTTTTTGGACAATAAGGAATATATTCAGGTTCTTTATTTCAGGATGCATAAATAAGTGTGAAAACCATAAGGAAAAATGAGAAAATGCTTATCACAGAGTCAGGAGAATGGTTTCCTCTGGGGGTGTGGGTAGTGATTGCAGAGGTAGTGTACTCTAGTCATCTTTTTCAGCTATTCTCAGGACAGGCTTGCCAGTCTGGCTCCAAACTGAACATTGCTCTGGCTTACCACTGCTTACCGCTTGCGAGTTGGGGGTTGCTGTAGTGTTCTTTCTTGAACTGGGGTTTATGGGCATTTAATTCATACTTTTTCATTAAATTGTTATTAATATTTTTATGAACTATATTTTATAATTAAAAATTTTTTTTAAATGGAAAGAAACTTTCTCAAGCTATCAGTTTATTCTCAGAATAAGAGTCAACCTGGGTGTTTACTACAAATAAACATTCCAGGCCCTTCCATGGAGGTTATGATTCTGGGATGCAAGAGTCTAAATATATGTTTAATGAGTCCAATAAGCAGCAAAGTTTGGGAAAACTGCCTCTAGTTAAGCCCACAGCGATGGGCCCCGTTCACTGTCGTGGGGCTTCCAGGGAGCTTTTTAGTAGTATGTGTTAGCGGTTAAGGGTGACCAAATTTTAGAGGTAAGCCTTTAATATTACAGGTGGAGACCAAAATAAAGAAAAAGAAATGGGGCACAGTGGCTCATGCATGTAATCCCAACACTTTAGGAGGCTTGGAGATGGGAAGATCGCTTAAGGCTGGGAGTTTGAGACCAGCCTGGGCAACAAATGAGACCCTCTCTCAACTACAAAAAAAAAAAAAATTAACAGGGCATGGTGGTGCCTGCCCGTAGCAGCTACTTGGGAGGCTTGGGCCCAGGAGTTTGAGGTTACGGCGAGCTATTACCACGCTACTGCACTCCAGCTCGCGTGACAGAGCGAGACCTTGTCTGTTTAAGAAATAAAAATAACAATAAATGGAAGTTAACAGGAGCTCTTCAAGGAAAAGAAAACTTCCAAAAATAGAGTTAATATCCCTGGAAAGAAAAAGATAAGAAAAAGAAAATCTACCCAAGTCATATGTCTATCTAAATCATGAGTTTCAAAAAGAGTGAATAAAACAATCAGAGAAGATGAAATAGTTACTGGAATAAATTCTAAAAAATTGCCAAGAACTGAAAGACAGTTCCAGGTTGAACCACTCTACCAAGTAGACAGAACAGTGAAAGAAACAGACTTAATCAAGTTATCATCATTGAAAGTTAGAAGACAATTCTGAAGGAAAGTTATTTTAATTTAGGATTCTGTACTTAACCAAAACAATTAAGTATTAGATTAATGAACCACAATTTTTTGAAAAATGTACTTCCCACTTACCCTTTCTCATGATGTCTACAGAGGATATGCCTCAATACATGGAAGTAAACCAGAAGGTAGGAGATACGGACTGAGATGCAACATAAGAAAGGAAGAATAAGGTAATCCTAGGACGTGAGGGAGCACCCCAAGCAGCAGTGGTAGAGCAAGCCTAGAAAGCACCCAGTTCACACTGCAATAGCTCAGAAGCTTGTTGGAGATTTCTTTAAGAAAATGAAATTTATATTAGCCGAGCACGGTGGCTCACTCCTATAATCCTGGCACTCTAGGAGGCCAAGGTGGGAGGACTGCTTGAGCTCGGGAGTTCAAGACCAGCCTGAGCAAGAGCGAGACCCCGTCTCTACTAAAAATAGAAAAATTAACCGGGCGTCGTGGTGTGTGCCTGTAGTCCCAGCTACTCAGGAAGCTAAGGCAGGAGGACCCCTTGAGCCCAGCCAGGAGTTTGAGGTTGTAGTGAGTTATGATGACACCACTGTACTCTAGCCCCAGCAACAGAGCAAGACTCTGTCTCAAAAAAGAAAAAAAAAATACCTTAAATACACGTACATGTTTTTAGGGGAAAAAATTAGATAAAAAGAAAGTAAAAAGATAAGAAGAAAGTGAAGATCACTTTTAATCTTACTACCTTGAAATACTGTTAATATTTGATGCAGGTTTGTGTTTTAAAACTAAAAATTAAGTGTACTATTTTAATCTGATTTTAGCCCTATCAGAATTTTTTTTCAATATTTTTTATTTTTAGAGACAGGGCCTTACTCTGTTGCTCAGGCTAGAGTGCAGTGGCACGACCACAGCTCACTGCAGCTTCGAACTCCTGGGCTCAGGTGATCCTCCTCCTACCTCACTGGTATCTTCACAGCCTCCCACTTTGGTGCTAGGATTACAGGCATGAGCCATGATGCCCGGCCCAGAAATGAATATACATGTTTGAGTCTTTCTAATTGGTGAATGAGAAGTTTGAGAAAACTTGTTTCATAAAAATAAAACTGCTGATTGTAGACAACTTCTGACCCTATACTGTTTCTCTTTCTTCTGCAGATTCTCAGAGGGAATTCAGTAGTAGGCCAGGTACAGGATACGTACCTGTGGAGTTTTGGAAAAAAACGGGTATGTGTTTGACTGCTCTTTGGTTGCACATACTCACTAATTTGTGTGAGCAGGGAACACGAATTTAGGGGAGAGGTGGTTAACTGGGTCCTTTGGTTGTCTAATAACTTACTCGGCATGGAGCCCTAGGCTCCTGCCTCTCCCCCTCGGGCTTGTCCCACATGTCTCCTGGACTGCCTGTTGTGTTATTTTGCAGGTCAGGAGTTTGGAATGGCTCCCTCTAGTCCCTTTCATGCCCTTCTATTGGGTCACACTGAGGCATTAAGTACCTATTGACATGCTCTGATTCTGGGCCTGTGGCTGAGTTCATTTTGCCTGATCTCACTAGCATCTACACAGACTGTGTTCACACTGCTACCAATCTGCTCTTGGCATAGCTTTGCAATCCCTCTGCTCTTCCTTTCACCTTCACTGTGACTAGCTCAGTCCAGACTGTTCTTGGTAGATCTCCTTTTCTATAAGAATAAAGGAGGGTGGGGACTACCTGTTCTGGTAAGATAGGGGATGAAACTAACCTCACGTCATTCATGTCAGCCTTATCCAAATACTAGCCTGCTGTACCTTCTTGACTTCCCTTCCCAGTGACTTTTTTTTAAAGTCCAATATGATTTTTGGTTTTATTCCTAAGATAAAAATTCTGTAAAAAATTTAATAACTGTATTCCTAAGGACTCTTTCAAGAGCATCAGGACAATATTAAACAAATAGACAAAAAATATGAACAAATGATGCTATGAGAAATACAAATATTAAAAAAAAAAATAAGAAAACTACAAATAAACATATTGCAAAATGTTTTTCCTCAGTAGTAATCAGAAAAGTACAAGATTAAGCATCCCTGATAAATTAGCCCCCAGTTTAACAATCAGTTAATTGACCATTTTAGAAGACCTTGTTGATGATGCTAAATAAATTCATCAAAAGTTTATATAAGAAATTATTAAGTATTACCAATAGTGAGTGCCTACAGATTCTTGGAATTGTTCCTCACTTTTATGCTTTCAAATGGGCCAGACTTAAACGCAGATTTTTAAAGAAGCAACAGTATGTGTAAAGGTACTATTTTTAGTCTATTCTGGGAGCAAGGGAAAGGCAACCTGGAAAATGCCCAAACATCCATGAATGATTATGTTAATTTACAGTTGGATACCACAGCAAAATAGTATTATACCATTAAAAACAATTTGGGGCTGGGCATGGTGGCCCATGCCTGTAATCCTGGCACTCTGGGAGGCCAAGGTGGGAGGGTTGCTTCAGGTCAGGAGTTTGAGACCAGCCTGAACAAGAGCAAGACCCTGTCTCTACCGAAAATAGAAAAAATTAGCCAGGTGTGGTGGCATGTGCCTATGGTCCCAGCTACTTGGGACACTAAGGCAGGAGGATCGCTTGAACCCAGGAGTTTGAGGTTGCAGTGAAATATGATGATGTCATTGCATTAGCCCAAGCGACAAAGTGAGACCCTGTCTCAAAAAAAAAAAGCACTAGTGACTTTATTTACTTGGGAAGTAACTTTGGTTAACATAATTAAGAGCCCAACTTCGGTGTTGAACCGGCTAGATTTGAGTCCTTCCTCTGCTACAGTGTCGTCTGTGACCTTAGATGACCTCCATTAAGATAGTTAGCCAAACTGTGCTTCTTACTGATTTATCCATAAACTGAGAGGGTAAAATCTACCTGAGAACATCGTTATGTTGGCTCAATAAGAGACACTTGACACCCACCTGACATAAGAGGCTTATGAAGGGTAGCTATGGTGGGCCACAGTGGGCCTATGTGGACAACCAGAGTAAAGGAAACATGGAGTCCTTGGCCTTTGGGGTGAAGACTTTCTTTTCTTAAGGCTGGAGCAAAATGATAGAAAGTTGTAGCATGGCAGCCTAGAACATTCTGTTTAAACCTTCTTTGAGCCTGGGCCATGTGCAAGAGCCAGACTGTGAGGGCGTTTCCTCAGGCTTCTCGGTTGCTTGGTCTTACGGAGTCATGTGAGAGGTTATTCACATTGGGACTTCACATTCACATTCACATGCTCATTCTGCTGAAGTTCAAGTGCATGGAGTGTATTATTTGGGGTGTCCACCCAATGGAAACCAAGCAGGGCAGCGGTGATGGGAGGAAGTGATCAGGAACCAGGTGGGTTCATGTTCTAGAAACCCAGGACTCCTTGCAGTCTGCTCAAATCTGTGTCTTTAGCCCTTGTTTCACTAGCTGCCTCCTGGTCATTTACACTTGGATGTCCCGTAGGCACCTCATCATTCTCACTTGCCTCCACACCAGCTTTCTGCGTATTGCATGACTCTACCATTCTTCCCCTTTACCTCCACGTCCAGACCCTTCGATGCTAGCCATCTCCTGCCTCATCCCTTCCTCAGTGCCACTTCCTCATGCCTAAATCCAGAGTCTCTTCGTTGTCCCAGCCTCCCAGTTGCCATCCTTGTCTTCAATCTCTTCTCCTTACATAGAACCCCCTTAATGGAGTTCACATTTCCTTTAGGGAAAAAAAGGCCAAATTCCTTAGCGTGGCGTGCAAGACTTTCCAGAAACTCATTTCTACCCAAACACACTTTGTTGAACCTCCCTTGCCCCTTGTAGAGCTGACCATTCTTTTCCTTGGAACTCAGTCTCTTACACTACAATATGCGATGCATCTGAACCACATTTATCCTTGATCACAAGCACTTATGAGAGTGTGACCGTGTCTAGTCACCCGAGTATCCGCAGCCCTAGCGCAATGCCCACCTCCATCTACATACCCAGCCCATCCCCGCCTGGATGGACAAGCAAGTGTGGGTATCATGTGCTCTTCCCTGTGCATTTTTAGTAAACAGTGATGTTGTTTCCGCTCTACTCCCTCTTAGAAATGGTGTGGGGTGGGAGGGAAAAGATTTCTCGGCCAGTTGATTTTACTGTCACTTTCTTCTAGAAGAAGCTGTGAATAAGGTGAAAATTCAGGCCATGTCAGAAGTACAGAAGGCTGTCGCTGAAGCAGAACAGAAAGCCTTTGAAGTGATTGCAACAGAGAGAGCTCGAATGGAGCAAACCATAGCGGACGTCAAGCGGCAGGCGGCAGAGGATGCCTTCCTCGTCATAAACGAGCAAGAAGAGTCCACGGAGGTCAGAGCTCTGTTAGCCCTGGGGGTTGGGCTGGGCTGGGCTGGGGTGGGGCAGCTGGCATAGACCGTCCCCTCTTGAGGACTAGATGATTATAATTTTTATCTAGTTCCAGAAGTTTTGATTTTTACTCTGGGACTCTTTTTATACATCAAGATAGTAAATGATTATATTGTATTCTTATATGTATTGGCTCATATTGGTTTAAATTTTGAAGACTCACCCT